AAATAGCGGTAGGAACGAAAGCCTTAACTTTCTAGAAAATATGGGAGCATCATTGGAAGAACGATTCAGCCGGTAGTCCTACTACCCTTCGTTTTTGTTTATATGTGAACATAAAGGGTGATCTGAAACGATGTGGAAGAGAAGTTTTCTCACAGAGCTGTCATTTTTGGAGTTTGCAGACTAAACTTAACCCGAATTTATTGAGGCGTCGATAAAGCCATTGGGAGGGGGCCGACAAAATTGTATGCCATGGAATTCTGGCATCGAAAGCGATATAGTAAGGAAGGATCACCCACTCATGCCGACACTTTCTAACGTGAGTCCGCGTTATTTAAATACCGATGAATGCAGCAATATTTTTAGGAAAGAAAACATATTAGGGCTTGAATTGTCATTATAATTGTTTCGACGTACGGCGTCTGAGATCCCCCAGTTAAATTCCAAGCTGGGGGCAACATGTTTCATTTCGTCTTGATACTAACAAAAGCAGGAGCATAATACTGCACAGATGTAGCGAATGGTCTGGAGCTTGGAAAAGACAGTAAAATTAAATATTTTGTGGCCTGCTATTCCCTAACATTAGCTTTTCAACGTTGGAAGGTAAATTACTTATGCACGTGGTTATTGATTTTATATTTTGTTGTCAACATCTGAACAGCGTTCAAGTGTTAACTGCTAAATGCAGCCCGTGAGTTTTAATCGGTTGGTCGAGTGACTACTGCGACAGTGGTGAAGCAAAAGCCGGGACCTCTCAAATATGTGCACTGTCTATGTTCAAAGAAAGCAACCTTATGGTGACATACTCTTACTGTTAGTTTTTCCACTTTTTTGCTATAAAGAGCACAGAACAAGATAATAGTCTTTTAATTACAGCATCAAAACAAGTTGTAGCTACGCCAGCAGGCTAATTAATCAACGGCTCAAATACCAAAGAATATGGTTGGTGTATAACTGCGAAAAACATCCGGTATAAATTGACAAGACGACTGTTGATGCCATACAGGTACCCTCTGGGAATAACTGCAACTGTAAGTGGGAAGTGGAGACTAAGGCATGACAAGAGAAATGGACAGAGGAAGTGAAGTCGACGGAGCGCAGGGAATGATATGGCGAGGGAAGGTGTCATTGTTTCTCCTTCTGTCGACATAACTAGGTTTCTCTTCACTTCATTCTGATGCAATTAACTGACCAGTTTTATACCCTCCTATGTCATTTAATGGCCTGATGGTGAATGACTGAAAGCAATTGTTTGCCAAAAACGACTTTTGAATTACAATGATTTGACAAACGACTTTTCTTTCAAAGTTACTGGGCTGCAATCCTTGGTTACGCTGACGTTTGGGCCGCTGGTGCATCTGCCTGTTTTTAGCCAATGCCGGCGGTAGGTTAGGTGGTATTTGGCTCATTATTAATGTAAGGTTGCAGGAACTTTCGCAAACATATCCTAGATCAAAAAGCTATCCTCAAGTCACAAATTTTGCTTTCTTGATAAAAGATCAAACAGACTAGTGGCAAAAGGTCCCTCTTGAGTCAGGCAAACGACTAAGTATGGGCCACACGGGCGAAGGCCTAATAGTTAACCTCCACTCTCGTGAATTTTTGCTACCAATTCTTTTAAAAACACCACGAAGACGTGGTCTTATCAAGACACTACATCTGAAAAAGCTTATATAACTATTGCAAGATAACTACAGACACGTCGCTAAACCAGATACAATTTCTGGTCTCCTTCCAGTGAAACGGTGTTTACATTTCGGTAACTGAGGCAATCGTGGTTTATGAGACCACGTTCAGAAGGAAAGGCAAATAAAGGGCCGAAATGAGATCATATAATTTTAACTCACAGACGTTTTTTTGGAAACTGAAGGAACAATGTTTGCTTAGTGAAAAAGATTTCGAAACTTTCATGCCCACAGGAACAAGTACTTCATGGTTGTATTTTCTACCAAGGATGCACAAACCCCTACTCGCTATGGGGCCGAACTAAAACACACGCAATCGGCTTCATCACACAATTGCAAGGTGGCTGGCAGAAAAGTTTAAGCTGACCCCACACGAAGTAGCACCAGGCAGCCCCTGGGACATTTTGCTGCCGTAGGAAATATGAATCTCAATGGGAAAACGACGCTGTTCTTGGGTGCCTGGTCTTTTTTACTACCAATATTCTCACGGAAACGATATGATATTTATATGAAGGGAATGTTAGGGCGCAGTTCACTGTCGATATGCCGGTCATGGGGCTGCTCTTTCACAGATTATATACGTGAGAATTTTACAGCCCCATAGGCGCATGGGGACACAGAAAAGGTGACCGGTGCGTGAATTATGGGGTGTCCCCAAATTATTTGCCCCTCTTTAAATTTTGATAATTTCTTTATGATTAAATATTCAGCAATAGTACTTATATATTACTCAAGGTCATTGGTAATTAATTTTTTTGTAAACAAACTTTGTTCACAGTGCCTGTTGTACAGTTCAGCAGTACAGATACAGTAGAAAGCTTGAAACTAGTAACAAAACAGTGTTTGAGATTCTGATGACACGAAGCTCAGAGGACAGAGCTCAAGCCATAGGAATGATGGTGGCCGGAGTAAACCGGGTGAAGACAGTTAAAGCCGTTGGTATATATATCAGAACAGCCACGTATTCGTGGTCACAGTACAAGCAGACAGGTACCCTCACAAGGCAGAAAAACTCTGGAAAACCAAATACGTTGGTGACAGTTGAAAAGATCTTTAGTGCAAAGTCCATAGGCAAACAAAGGCAAAGCATGAGGAAATTCGCAAAGAAACTCAAGGCAAATGGCCTTAAATGCTCTACGTCCAGTATGCTCCACCATTTGTGTGGAGTTTTGGGTGTTTCCGCCCATCACAGAAGAAAATCCGTAGACTAACAGAAAAAGAGAGGAAAGATAGGATGACCTTTTGTAAGATGGTCAGGAAGTGGATTGCAAACGACTGGAAAAAAACCGCCTTTTCCAATGAAACGTAAAAAACAAAAATGACGTTATTGGGCTCCAAGTCGTAAGATGGTTGAGAATGTTGAAGTTCCAAAGTTTAGCACTACGATCATGTTGCGAGGAGCAATGTCGGCTGTAGGAGTCTCTCACCTCCACACTGTACTTCAAGATCAACGAGTGAAGGCTGAGTATTATAGAGAGGAGATCCTAAAGCAAAACCTGCTTGTTAGATTTTTTTAAATCTTGTGAGCAAGTCAACATTTGAAAAAAAAACTGTTCAGAACATGTCAAGTATACATTTTATGCAGGACGGGGCCACAGTTCATACAGCTCCGGAGACCCACATGAAATTCCACATGTTCGGAGGAAAAACATGTGGTTAGCAAGCAGTCCTGACTTTAATCCAATTGAAAATATATAGTCAATTCTTTGGAATATGGTTGACACGAAACTGGAAGGCGTTGCGATCACCGGAATCATATTTTTACTTGTCGTAGCTTTCGGGCTCTTTCTAGAGTCCACCGTCAGAGATAAAGGCGTTAACGAAAGCCAAGCAACAGGTATAGGACGCAGAGGCCAATCAACCGTTATGAAGGGGAAGGTGGAGAGAAAGGGTGTGGGGGGAAAGTCAACCACCAGTGCCATCAGCCCGGAGCTGCCTGCGCAGCGCGATGTCTGCCGGCGCCAGATCGATAAATCGATCGACTGCGTTCTCATCCGAGGCCCAGGCTTCAATAAATTCATGGTCTGTTTTGTTGCCGGCGTGCGCGATTACCATCGCAGCTGCGAAATCAAACTCGTGACCGGTCTCGTAGATCTGGACGGCCACGTGCGCTAGTGCGTCACCCCGTTGTACCGTCAGCTTATGTTTGTGTATGCGCGAACCAAACATACGTCCTGTCTGTCCTTTGTAGTTTCGGAGACAATTTAGACATGGTATACGATACTCGACGCCCGACTGCTCACTGGGATTTAAATGGTCCTT